CCTCCACCCCGCCCCTCCCTCCACCCCGCCCCTCCCTCCACCCCGCCGTGGGCCAATCAGGGAGGCGGGCGCTCTTTAGGTCTCCGGCTGGGTGCCTGCCTTCCTCCTCCCTGTCAGCTGCGCCGGCGGTGGCGAGTCCCTTTGGGCGTGGCCGCAGGAACTGAACGGCTGCCGTCGAGCGTGGAGCACAGCGCGATGGCCTTGCAGCCAGCGTGGAGACGGTCCACCGGCAGGTGTTCGCTTTGGGGCCGCACTACCCCCAGGCGCCCGCAGCACTGGATGGTGAGTTTCGGCGCCTGGCCACGCTCGGTCCCGCCTTCTCCCGGGTCGTAGAGGACACAGCCCGGGCCTGGCCGGCCCTTGGGCCTCAGGCGCCTCTGCGACCTGAAACCTGGGCTTGGCCGCCGTCCGCGCGCCAGGGCGGTTGAGGTTTAGGTGTCTGTCGCTCGCCGCTTCCCCGACCAGCGGTCGCTTGGGAAGGGGCGCGGGGAGTGGTCAGGGGAGCGGAGGCCGGGACCCGGGGACCCTCGGCCGGGTCGCGGCACGGCCTTCAAGTCCGTACGCTCTGGAAGGCAACGGAAGCGCTTCCACCCCTCGATTTGCTAGCATCATGGCCGCCTTTTTGGTTTTCGATTGTAAAGCTAGTGCTTGTCGGTGTTGGCGGCAGCTGCAGCTGAGGTCCTGAAAGCAGTTCGTCTCCGCCTGTGTGCAGAACACCGAAATAATCAATTTTTCTCCTCGCCTCTGTTTTCAGCCGACGGCTTTGATTAAATATCACCAGCGGTGCTAATGGTGGTCTCCGTGCAGGCTTTCTAAAATGCATTACCGACACCAGTGTTGGTGGAATATTTCTGTCTTGAAGTTTTTGCTTTTAAGTGGATTTTAATATCGCACTGTTAGCATTTCAGGAAGGATAAACCAGCATCACTCTCTTGATTTATTAAAGATCTGTTTAGAGTTGGGGCTAATTTGACTTTTTTTTTTAGCCCTCAATTGAGCTTTTTTTTTTACAAGCATAAATGCTCCCAGATGTTTTAGCCCGATTGGTATGGACTTTGCTGTTAATGATTTCGTGGTCAGGTATGCAGCTTTAATGGAGTTATTGCAGAATCACACGTAGGCTCCCTCAACTTGATTTAGGTCCCTTAGAAAAGTGAAATGATGGTGACAGTATTTTTTATTTATTTTTTATTTATTTATTTTTGCGGTACTTAGCATTTTGTGGTGGTGAAGACTTGTGGAAGTAGATTCCCCCTAAATCTGAATCTTGTGAATATGTCTTTTGTGTTGACTGAAGGAAGTAAACTAATGTATTGAGTACTTCGTGGCAGGTACTGTGCTACATACATTATTTCATTTTATTTGAACAGCCACGTTGAGGGAGGAAAAGATGGTATTGTTACTTTTTTCAGGTGAGGAAGTATCCTGAGGTCATAGAACTAGAGAGTTATTCTTAAAATTGTAGACTTCACAAAACACAGCTCTTTCAGCTATTTTTAGGAAAACACTCTGCTTTCCTTAGTGTAATTAATAATTGCAGAATTTTGTGCATTTTACTGTATAAATTATAACATGTTTCCGAAGTGTATTCAAATTTCAATCATAATTTTGGAAATACCATAGAAGACATGTTTTACCAAGTATTGTAGCTAGATAGAAAAATTAGTTAAAATTGTTCTTTAAAGAGATTTTAATTGAATCTTTAATTTTCACTTTCTTTAGGAGCAAAATGCTGAATCCGACTATGAAAATTAGTATGAACTCACAGGCTTAGGAGCCAAGAGAGAATTTATATTAGGTGGAGCCTAAAAGAAATAAGTCCCTAAAAAGTAGTGGAGAGAAAATAGCATCATCTCTCTATCATACATTTCATTGCTGTTGCACTAGCCAGGAAGTGTGCCAGTGAATGTGTCTCATTACGAAAGGTTCAGAATTTCCCGTCACATCCTTTGACCGTTTTAACAAGATTAACTTATCTAAAATGTGGACTGAAAAAACTCTTTTAAGTTGAGGACATGTCACTTGAAAAGATACCCCCATCCAATAATATTTCTCCTATCTGATACAGTTTTTAATAGTCTGAAGTTGATTAGATCTGGGAACTAATTCTGTCACTGCTGTAGGCTTGTTTGACCTTCTGACTCTCCATTGGAAATGCTAGGTCCTCTTATTGTCATTTTCCTTTCCTAAGTGAAATACAAATGTAATTGGAATTTGAATCCTAGATCCAGATTATAGCCCTTTATCAGGTTGATGACATACCCTGCTATTAACCGTCTCCATTGCACATTATTAGCTTTTAATAAATATTGTTTCTGAATGTGACTAGAGCTCATGGATTCATCTCCATAGAGACATTAATTGAAGCCTTGAGAGTGGATAAGATAAGACCTCTGAGAACTAAGCCAAAGGATTGCCTGCCTTTACTGTGTCAATAAGGGTAAGTTATGGAAGAGGACAGAGGAAATGTGGTCAGAGAGACCAAGAGCTCATCCAGTAGCTGCACTGTCTCTGCTTCCTTTAGGAAAGGCCACCTGCCTTAGCTTTGAAATGGCCCATACCGTACCAGAAGGAGGAAGAGAGATCCCAGAAGGATATAGATCCTAGGCGTTCTGGAAACTAAGCAGAACCACAGGAGGAGAAAGCTACAGGTAACTGAACAAAATTTCTATGTTTCTATTTCCCCAGCTATAAAATGAAATGATTGGGCTCTGTCTGTGGTTTTCAGACCTCTCCTGTCTTAGGGGCTTCAGGCCTCACCCCACATAAGGAAACCTCATATATAGCATCCTCTCCCCTAATTACCTTTTTTTCATTCTTTGCTCTTCTCTTCCTCCTTCCGCTCCCCTTTCCTTTCTTTCTTCCTCTGCCTTTCATCTTTCTTCTTTTTCTTAATTTCCTTTCAGTCGTCATCATCTTCAATTCACATAGGTAACTGTTAAGGTTAGCAGGGAAAGATTCCATTTGGAAAAAGGATTTAGTAGCTTTAAAAGTGATGTTGGGTAACCCACAGGATAGATGTCCTCCAAGGTCCCTCCCAGAGTCTCAGGCTCAGAGCAGACTTTGGGGTTTTAACTCATGGCCAGTAGGAGCTGAATAGCAGATGTATGCATGAGATATGAACGCCATGACCAATTAATGTTAGTTGCAAGCCTGCCTTGCTGGTTTCAGCTTCATGCTAATCCTTGACTTTGAGGTATTATATTTTTCACTTTACACATAAGGGCACTGGGTCTCAGGTGACTCGTTCAGGGTTCACAGCCAGTAAGTATGTTGCAGAACTGAGACCTAAATTGAGATTTGTGTAGATGCCAAATCCTGTGAGCTTTTTTTCTTTTAACTACTATAGGCTTTTCTCTGTTATACCAAGTTACCTAGAAACATATACTTCCTGCAACTTGGGCTCCTGAATGCATTGGCCCTAAAGTATAAAATGATTATGTCATTGCAGACAGACCTGAAGAGGAGGCTAGAAAGGGTTAGGGTTAAAGTAATTAGGTTTTGGTTTTTTTTAAGATGGAGTTTCACTCTTGTTGCCCAAGCTGGAGTGGAATGGCATGATCTTGGCTCGCTGCAACGTCTGCCTCCCAGGTTCAAGCGATTCTCCTGCCTCAGCCTCCTGAGCAATTGGGATACAGGCGTGATCCACCCGACTAAGCCTCCCAAAGTGCTGGGATTACAGGCGTGAGCCATGGCGTCCCATCAGTTTTTTGTTTTTTCTTTTTTCTTTATCTCACAAGGCTCTGTCATCTAGCAGCTTGGTTTTTATCAGAAAGTAGTGTTGATTTCTTCCCACTCCTTCCAGTTACCTCTACCAGTTTCTTGATTTTCATTCATTTAATCAGTATTATTAAACATGTATTTGATTTCTGTGCTAGGCAGTAAGAACAAAGTAGTGAACAAAAGAAGTTGTTCTTACTCTTTGGTGTGTACAGTCCAACGGGGCAGTAATAACATTTACTGAGTGTGGTGAGGTGGGGAGTGCCACTGGATGATATAAAACGTGAAACTAAGATATTCTGAGTAGTCAGGAAGGGTTTCCTAGAGGAAGTGATGTTTAAGCTGGGACCTGCAGGAAGACTTAGAGATAGCTGGGTAAAAGGTAGGGTAGAGTACTGGAGTGTTTTAGGTACTATCTTGTAGGGACTGTATTATAGAAAATGAAAAGCTATGATTAAGATCTGGGAGTCTTTGTCATGGTATTGTAAGGATGGAAAATGCAGTTAAAGCTTCAGGTATAATTGGAACCAGGAACTGAAAATAGACAAACATAGCTACCTCCCTCCCTGTTTACATTTACAAAAGCTTCTTGCACCCTATATCTCTGAACAGCGGATTTCCCCCCACCCCTTTTCTCTTTTTCTTTTGAGACAGAGTCTCACTCTGTTGCCCACTGGAGTGAGATGGAGTGATCTTGACTCACTGCAACCACCACCTCCCTGGTTCCAGTTGATTCTCCAGCCTCAGCCTCCCAAATAGCTGGGACTACAGGCACGTACCACTGCATCCAGATAATTTTTATATTTTTAGTAGAGATGAGGTTTTACCATGTTGGCCAGGCTGGTCTCAAACTCCTGACAGGTGATCCACCCTCCTTGTCCTCCCAAAGTGCTGGGATTACAGATGTGACCCCACCTGGACTTTTCCCTTCTTTTCTCTTGTCACTTCCCCATGTACTCAGCAGAAGAGGGCTGACCCTGGCTTCCTGAAGGTGTGTCTCTTCAGGTTTTTTGGTGACCAGAGGCTGAGAACACTCTGAATCCAATTCCAAGTGGGACAGAATTTATAAAAACACCGTTAAGAGATCATTCTGCACAGAGCAGCTAACTCTACCTGAGCTTTCCAGCCTGGGAGAGTGTCTGCCTTTGGTCTAGTTAGCTGAGGCCCAAGGTGGGGTCATTTATTAAATAAAGCCAGATATCTTACAAGGTTTGAGGGGCAAGGTGGGAGTGGTCAAAAGAGGTCTCTCATTGATTTCTGAGTTGTCAGGTTAAAGTTCTTGGTGCTGTTTTCCCTGCTGTTCTCCAGGGAGTGTATATCACTCCCCTGTTTTTACAGATGAGGAAAATGAAACTCAAGTTGGGTATCTTGCCAGTCACAAGTAAGGGGTCAAAGGATTTTGTCATGAGGATTAAATAAAACAATACAGGTGAAGTGCTGTGTACTTGGTATCTAGCTAATACTCTAACTGTTGTTACTTCTTAGAAGTAAATGCTGTTGGCATGAAGTGAATTCTCCTTTGCCTCAGTCTCTAAGTAAAGCAGAATGTGCAGAAGTACAAATATTCGGCTTGGTGGTCACATGACCTTACAACAATGTGAAAGTAATACACATTCAGTAGAAACCTTACTTCAAGTACCCACGGAACCATTCTGTTTTTCATTTCCAGTATAGTATTTAATACATCATGTGAGTTATTCAACACTTTATTATAAAATGGGCTTTGTGTTAGATGATTTTGCCCAACTGTAGGCTAATGTAAGTGTTCTCATGTTGAAGGTAGGCTAAGCTAAGCAGTGATGTTTGGTAGATTAGGTGTATTAAATGCATTTTCAGCTAGGCTGGGCGCAGGACCCACGCCTATAATCCAAGCACTGTGGGAGGTCAAGGCGTGAGGATTCCTTGAGTTTGGGAGTTTGAGATCAATCTAGGCAACATAGTGAGACCTCGTCTGTACTAAAGGTATTTAAAAAAAATTAGCTAGGTGTGGTGGTACATGCCTATAGTCCCAGCTACTTGGGAGCCTGAGGCTGAGGGTGACTTGAACCTGGGTGGTTAAGGCTACAGTGAGCCATCGTCATGTCACCGCATTCCAGCCTGGCAACAGAGCCAGAACCTGTTTCAAAAAAAAAAAAAAAAAAAAAGCATTTCACCTTATGAGGTTTTCAACTTATGATGGGTTCATCGGGATGTAAGCCCATAGTAAGTCAAGGAACATCTATGGTCTAGTTAAAATAGGGATAGTCAAGTGTTTCATACATAGTCCAAATCTTCATAAGGAAACATCAGGGAAACCCGAGTTTAGGGATATTCTACAAAATGACTGGCCTGTAAACCTCAAAATAGTCAAGATCATGGAACCAAGAAAACACTGAAGAATTGTTCCACACTAAAGAAGTGTAAAGAGACATGGCAACTCCATGTGGTTCATGATTCTGAATAGGCATGATTGACAAAACTAGAATGAGGTCTGAAAATTAGATTGTATTTGTATATCTGTGTTTTATTTTTCTTGAGACAGAGGCTTGCTCTGTGGCACTCTAGTCTCTCTGTTGTCCAGGCTGGAGTGAGTGGTGCGAGCTCAGCTCACTGCAACCTCTGCTTCCTGGGTTCAAGCGATTCTTCTGCCGCAGTCTCCTGAGTAGTTGGGATGACAGGTGCCTGCCACCACATCTGGCTAAGTTTTGTATTTTTAGTAAAGATGGAGTTTCACCCTATTGGCCATGCTGGTCTCAAACTTGCAATCCACCCACCTCGGCCTCCCAAAGTGCTGGGATTATAGGCATGAGCCACTGAGCCCAGCCTAATGATTTTATTTTTATCTTCTTCTTTTTTTTTTTTGGTATTTTCTTTTTAACTTTGGTTTTTCCTACCTTTTTTGTTACAAACCCTTGTGTCGTTGACTGCTCTGCTTTGTACAAAACCCTGACCCAGAAACATCACTAAGTCCCCCTTTAATGTTTATTGTCTGATGGGCAAAAGGGTTGCCGCCATTTACTGCATCAAGTTTTCCAGCATGAAGGGCTTCCCATATCTGGTTCTGGTGGGCTGTGTTGTGAATGGAGGGGGACCAGTTATCTGAGGCCAACCGAGGCTCCACAGGCGGCTGCCCTATTGTTTCACTTGGGCGGGATTCTGACTTAGAGGCCTTTGATCATCATCACACAGATGAGTGTTGATGATTTTGATGGTTGCATTTTGATTGTGTGGGAGAATGGTCTCGTTTGTTTGCAGGAAATAGTCACTAGAGTATTGGGAGATAATGAGAAATATTGGCAAACTTACTCTCACATGCCTCAGAGTCCAAAAGTTTCATAAGCTAGACTTATAATTGTTCTATGGTTTGAAATATAGCTCCTTTTCTCTAAAGAGTTGTTGCTGGGTCCCTTTCAGAAAGATACTTGAGTGAGGATGTGTTGAAATTTGTCGGAAGCTTATGAAAGGCAGCTTTTAGCCTATCAAAAGAGGACGGGTGGTTTGGGGGTGCTCTCTGGGGCTACACTACCTTTAGTGGGGAGTGGCTTGGGGGCACTACTGGGTCCTGCAATGCGGGTGGCAGGGACAGGTTGTGAGTGCTATGGGGTACTACACTGCGGGTGGTGGGGGGAAGTTTGGGGGTGCTATCGCAGTTACATTGCTGTTGCAGGTGGGGAGGATGTTAGCAGTGCTATCTGGGGGCTGCACTGCTGGTGGCAGGAGGCAGAGGCAGTGACAGCAGTGGCCTCCAAGGAAGGGGCTGTTCTGCTGTTTCCAGACTCTGTACTCTTCTGCTTGTGCTGGAGTGTGGCAGACACACAGTGTTTCCGTGGGAATCCTGAGTATGGCAGGGTCCCCACACCTGCCATGGTTCCCAGGCCCGTACCCTCTTGCTGTATTGCAGAAACTGCCTGGGACCACCAGGCACAGAGTAGCGGGCACTACGGAGTCGGAAAGGGTCAGGGCCCTGTGGGTTCAGGCATCAGGGACAGGAACTGGCAGTAGGGTGCAGGGGTGGCTGGGTCTGAGTTTCTGCTGCTACTGCTCCCTGAGGAGCGCAGCCTTGGTGGGCCCAGGGGTTCCTGGCTAGCTCGACCTGGCCAGGGCCAGGTTTCAGCAAAGGCACTCAACCCACCCCAGGCCCCAATTCCTGGCCAACTTGGGCCAAAAGGAGAGGCTGGACTTTGGAGGATAGGTGTGAGTGCCTTGGCTGAAACAGGTCCCGGCCACCCAGTGGCCAGCATGACAAGGTGAGGCTCTAATGCCATCACTCCCTGCATCCTCTTCTAGGCTTTTCTGGATTTGCCTGCCCAGCTGCTCCATGCCTGGTTGGAGGAGGTACCAGCTGCATCCTGGAGGCTGGACCCTGCAGATGGCGCAGCTCTGTGGCTTACCTCGCTGTGGTTGGTGGCCGCAATGGAGACTGCAGCTCAACTGGAGAGAGGTAGGAGGGTGCCTGGGGTGACCAGGTGGTAGAGCCTTGTAGGGTGGGCTGGTGCACTGAGGGTGACAGCAACAGTGGTTGTATTGGTGTCGTCACCAGTGGTGGCAGCAACAGCTAGTCTGGAGGCCAAGAAGAGGGAGTAGAGGCACTGCAGGGCCCGGCCTAGCCTGAGGTGGGGAGGAAGTTGCAGTTGTTGTACTGTGGACCTGGGTGCCAGCAGTGATCGTGCAGCCAGCGCAAGGAGGAGTCCTCCCCCTTCTGTAGAATCTGAAGGGTCCCTTCTTCCTGCTGTTGCCTGAGGCGAGAGCGGCAGCATTGTCTCATTCCTAACAAAATTTAGGGAGCGACTATTTGTGTATTTTCTACTTGTTTTTGTTGTGGTAGTCCTGGACTTTTTTAAATTTCATAAATTGGAGAGGAGAAAATATCATAATAGACCTTATTTTTTGTTGTTGAGACAGAAACTTACTCTGTCACCGAGGCTGGAGTACAGTGATGTGATCTCAGCTCACCGCAACCTCTGCCTGAGTTCAAGCTACCCTCCTTTCAAGCCTTTGCCTTTCAAGTAGCCTGTATTACAGGTGCCCACCACCGTGCCTGGCTAATTTTTGTATTTTTAGTAGAGGTAGGATTTCACCATGTTGGCCAACCTGGTCTCAAACTCCTGACCTCAAGAGATCTGCCTGCCTTGGCCTCCCAAAGCACTGGGATTACAGGCGTGAACCACCACAGTCTGCCTCAACAAATAATTTCAGTTTAAAAATAATAATGACAAATGTGAATATTTTTTACTTAAAATCTTTTTTAAAACTTTTTTTTTTTTTTTTTTTTACTTTAAAGGCAGTTAGATTTAAGACTGTTCACATATTGAAAACCAAAGCATTTTAAGAGAAATCTCACATACGCTCTGTAGACCACACTTATCTTTATCTTTATCTGGCTCTTTTTTTTTTGGTATTTTCTTTTTAACTTTGGTTTTTCCTTCCTTTTTTGTTACAAACCCTTGTGTCGTTGACTGACTGCTCTGCTTTGTACAAAACGCTGACCCAGAAACAGCACCAAATTTATCTTTATATGGCTCTGTCTAGGTTACTGAGCATGAAAAATAAATCATATTCACAAAAAAATTTACTCGTGTGCATTTCAAAAAGGAATTAACTTCAAAGTATCTGCCTTACTCTGTGGTCCTCACCAAAAATAATAGGGCATTTCAGACAATACAATTAAACATTTGACATATGCATAATTATAGAATTTTTGTTAAAAACTGTGCATGGCACAAAGAGAATTTTCAGATTATATTATGCGCAGTAAAAATTGAACTCTGTAGAAGTGTTTCATTTAGGAAAACCAGGGCTTAAAATAATAAGAATAATTTTGATAAGATTTTTGCTGATAAAGAAATGCTTAGGCGGGTATGGTGTCTCTCACCTGTAATCCCAATACCTTGGGAAGCCAGGCTGGGTGGATCACAAGGTCAGGAGTTCAAGACCAGCCTGGCCAACTTGGTGAAACCCCATCTCTACTAAAAACATAAAAGTTAGCCGGGCATGGTGGCAGACACCTGTAATCCAGGCTGCTTCAAAGGCTGAGGCAGGAGAATCATTTGAAACCGAAAGGCAGAGGTTGCAGTGAGCCAAGATTGCCAAAAGTAATGAGCAGTTTGGCAGATAAGACAGGCTGTCAGGCCATGGCAGTTCAGCAGTGGGCATGCTGCCTGTCGAGTCACTTGTTCCCGAGGACTACGGCTAAATACCACAGATAAAATCTTCTTTGTCACTGATACTTGATATCACAATGAAATGATGTTATCTTTCAGATTTCCGGTTGAATTATTCACCCATTAACATCTGGTGATTTGGGTTGTAAGATTATTTTTAGTTTTTCCTGTTAACATTTCATCCATAAAATACAAACAAGACATATTTTTTCATGTAAGAATGTAAGCAGTATAAGACTTTTAAAACCCACTAATGAAATATACATGATTACATGCTTTAATGAACTAAAACTTTCATCTGTGATCTTTATTTTGCAGCACTCTGAGGTAGCATTACAGTCTCTTAGGTGTGCTGTGTCATTTATGTCCCTTACTTTATCCTAGGAATCCTTTATTGCCATTGAGCATATGAAAACAGAAACATGTGCATAGCTTCTCCGCATTGAGCCCATCAGTGGGTAGGAGCTGTATACTGGGGACATTTGGCAGAGATTTTCATGAGTCTGTTGGATACAACAGCTCCTTAGGAAACCTCGCAGGTTACCTTCCCTATTTTTTACCATTTGTAAACTAAGGCTCAGTGATATAAAAACAGATTCTGTGCCGTGGCATAACTGCAGCTTAAGGTTTTCATATTCAACACAACAGAGGTATAGCTGAAAATGTATGAACACTTAACATACCTCAAGATCCATTTGTTGGTATATTTGTGGCATTTCCAGATAGCTGACCTGGGGCTAAAGCATCTTTCTGGCATCGGTGTTTCTAAGTTGCCTTTAAGCTGAATAAATTTTTGGTTTTTATATTTAATCACTTCTATGTGAAATGCTGCAATTTAAAAAAATTGTACATGTGTAATACAGGTATAGTATTTTACACTAAATAATAATGACTGGCAGTCCATTGGCCCAAGAGGTATAATTTTTCAGATATTCTGCTCTGTGTCATCAGATGTAGACATTCATCTGGCATTCATCTGGAAAGACTTGTGGTCAGGGATTCACAGTACTGCTGGTGGGGTTTCTCCAGACCCTTTACATATGACACTTTAGGACGGGGTGAGTCACAAGTTACATTAGAAGTTGCCTTTGAAATTAGACCTAAACCGTGTGGAACTGGAACCCTTGTGCACAAAGCTCCCTGTATCATCCAAATCCTGCTGAAATCTTAGGGAAGAACAGTTTTACAGATTCATTCTTTCCACACTGAAGATTTCCCCACTGCCCAATTACTCTCACCTTTTTTTTTTTTTCTTGACTGTTATGTTTTACTTGACTCTGGAGACTTATACTCTTACCTTTGTACGGAGTATACCTTATTTCACCAATTATACTATTTGTTTATTAAAAGCAGAAATAGTTACTTATACCTGAAAATTTGCACCAAGAATGTAGCTGTGAATATGTTAAGAAAGTATACTTAAAGCAAGAAATCAAAGAAAATATATTAAATCAAAGCTAATTCCATTTCCAAATGGCAATAAAGCATGTGTTACATAGAATCACTGCATGAAAGTGTTTTAGTAGCCAAGATGAGATTGTACGCTGGTGAATAAGCAAGAGTTCTTTTTTCATTTTCATCTTCCAGTTCAAACGGGTATTTGGGTTCTTTTTTCTATTCACTCATGTCACACGGAGACCTGTGTTGTAAATTATTTTGTCAGAATGAAAGCCTGGCAGATTAAATTCTTTCTTCTCTTCTTGCTATACTTGATATTGATCTCTTGTTCATTTTTTGATAATGTGTTTGCTTATTTATGTTATCATTGCTTTTAGAGTCCGAGATGGCTTTGGGTTCCCAGTTCTGTGTGTTCCTGTCTGGTTCCTGAACCCAGCTGGAGAAATATGTCAGTCCCAACTGGTGAAGTACTGAGAGGAAGCTACACAAAAGATAGCAAGGTATTAGTAATTGTACCTCTGACATTTTAACCACCTCTGACTTTTCCATGGAATGGACAAGTAGTAGTCTCTGTCAGAGCTACATTTTAAAGGAAAAAAAGAAACTTGAAGTTGAAAACTATTGATTAATTCATGATGTTATTTTGTGTTTACTCAGCTCCTTTATGTTGACTTGTAAATTATTAATTTATGAACTGTTAGTCATCAATTCATTGCCTACATATCAACAAACAAGTTTTCTTTTTAATAAATAATCTGGTGGCTGGGCACAGTGGTTCCCACCTCTAACCTCAACACATTGGAAGGGCAAGGTGGGAGGATTGCTTGAGGCCAGGAGTCTAAGACCAGCCTGGGCAACATAGCAAGATCTCATCTCTACAAAAAAAAGGAAAACATTGTCTGGGCATGGTGGCTCATTTTTGTAGTTCAAGGTACTCAGGAGCCAGGAGTTTGAGGCTGTAGTGAGCCATGATCCTAACACTGCATTCCAGTCTGAGTGACAGATCAGGACATCATCTCTTAAAAAAAAGGAATCTAAAGGCTTCAGTGTGTGCACACAGCATGGCTTGTGAATGTGGAAGTGCATGTGTGTATGTGCATAGGTGTGCTCAAAAATGTGTTGATGATTACACCGTCTTAGAATAAAGGTCATTTTTATAAAGATCTCTCCATGTCTTGGATTTGATTCTTCCTAGGAATATTTCCCTCATTGACCTTTGAAAGCACCTGACCATATATAAAAATGAAGAATTTTCATAACTCATAAAAGGAGAATTACGACATCATCTACTATTTATGTCTCTGGTCTCATAAATCTGAACTATCAACCTGCTTATTTTTATGTACTGTCACACCGTGTATTCCCTGCATTGAATGCTGTTCTATTGACATTCTCTTTCTAAATTGTAGGAAGTTTTCTGTACCCTAAATTTTCTATTACAGGGATTAAATAGCCACTATCCTTTTTTTTCCCAAGTCTTACAGCGTAAAGGGTAAGTAAATACAGCCCTCACAGCAGCCTGTTGTTTGTCCTGCAATTATGTTTCCATCACATTACACAAAGCCTCTTGGTCATCATGGTAGTATCCTACTAATAAGTTTTTTTTTTTTTTAATGATGTAATATGTGTGTATACAAATACCTATATGTGTATACACATACAGCTGATATCTAGTGTGATTACATATGGACGAACTATAGAATTAGCTTGTAATTTTAGGAAAATAAGTTATTTTGTAAAGATACATCTCATGTTCAAGAAAGAGAATTGCACTTGAATCAGTTATGGATGCCTCAGCCTAAACACAATATGGAAAGAGCAGTAACTAAAAGTCATTTTAGAGTACTGCTAGGTTATTCAACGTATCATCACATTTAATTAAAATGTCAGTTTGAACCATGGCCAGTGAATTTGGTTAATATGTTATTTAAATCAACTTGTGAAGTGTTTATTTTAAATATAGAATTTGTGTTAATGAACAGGAAAAAAAACATTCTATTGCTTTGGAAGACATGTTAAAGCCCAAAGATTTATGACTTCAGAGAAGAAAAAATCCAGCTGATGATCGGTTGGCATTAGTACATGAGGATGTAACTCATATTTGGTAATAGCCATTTTTTTCTAACTAGAGTAAGGAAGTTGGAAACGAGAGGCAAAAACAAGGAATCAGATGTATAAAAAATCACAGGACAAAACCCATGAGCAGACAGTATTTCAGCTTCTCTGGCTTCTCTTTTGTAGTGACCTAAAGCATCCATTTGGTCTGAAGCTTGTTGGACCCTGTCAGTGATTTCTGTGAACTGGAGTTAGACTTCCCTGGTAGGTTTTGGATGACATAGTTCCAGGGCTAGTGATGAGGGTGGTAGCACTTTTTTTTTTTTTTGAGACAGAGTCTTGCTCTGTCACCTAGGCTGTAGTAGACTGGTGTGATCTTGGCTCACTGTAACCTCTCCCTCCCAGGTTCAAGCAATTCCCTACCTCAGCCTTCCGAATAGCTGGAATTACAGGCGACTGCCACCACACCTGGCTAATTTTGTATTTTTAGTAGAGACGGGGTTTCGCCATCTTGGCCATGCTGGTCTTGAACTCCTGACTTTGTGATCCACCTGCCTTGGCCTCCCAAGTGCTGGGATTACAGGCATGAGCCCCCACACCTAGTCAGGAATGACTTCCTTAAGCAAAAATGCCTTGGCTTTCACTCCTAAGGAGCTTCCTGTGGTTTACAGATAGTGGTGGGGACTGTAGGGAAATGGTACCCAGCAAAATGACTGACCCATGCAATGCCTGTTGACAGGGCAGAAGTCCAGCCCTTGTGAAGGATTTTTACCCTCCCTATGCCGTCACCATAATCAGGGTGAAGAAGTGGTGAGCCTTTCACCAAGCTGTAAAGACCTGTGTGAAAAGAAGCAGAGCCTCCTCCTTGACAGTTTCTCCTCATGTGTGTACATGATGCTACGACTCCTACACTTATGGAAGCATGTTGTAAAGTGGAGGCTCTTGTGGTTGTCAGACAAATTTTTTTCTTAATTACCCTAGAGATTTTTAGCAAATTATGTATTTTGGGGTGTCTGGCTAATCCCACCAGTTGACACAATTTTGCTGCCATGAACTGCATGCTCAGACTCCATCCCCAAAAGTTTTTATAACCAATTAGTTTCCTGTTTTTCTTTTTTTGCATCAACTTCTCTAGGAAATGTTGAATTTCCACCATGGTATAGTTATATGTCTCCACCTTCCATTCTTCCTGGGTGTCTTTAGTAATTTTGGGATGTCACGTGGTGACTGGGAATCCCTAGCGAGGAGGTGGATCCTCTGCCCTGCCTTGTAGGATGTCACTTTCTACTCAAGAGCATTTCAATCAACATCAGTCAGCATCCACTAAAGGAAGGTAGGCAGGGGTTGTTGGTGTGGCACCGAAGGCAGAGGTGCTCTGCATGGCAGAGTGAGATCTTTGGCCCTTGGCGTGTTGGCAGGATGCAGGAATAGGAGCATGCAGCTATGTGAGCAAATGTCTTAGAAGAACCGAAAAAGTTTCTGCCTCCTCCAGAGACTTAGAGGGAGCTGTGCCACATGTTCAGAATTACCACAGTTAACCATCATTTTGTGAACCCTCCTCATGGGTAAACCCCTTGGTATCCCTGAAGGTCAGTATACAAAGATCTTCCAGAAGCAAGGAAGACAGAAACAGAGAAGGTGCCTGCCTCTGTGTCAGCCATGCTTACTCTTGTGAGGCTTACTTATGCTTACTCTTCTTACTCTTGTAAGAACTCGGGTGTGAAGTTACCCCACTCATGGGTCAGGGTTAAGCCATTTACTATTTCCACTCTGGCTGCACTCATGGACACTGAGAGCTTAGTGTCACATCACCCACTTCAAGTCTCTAGAGAGGAGTTGTTGATCCCCTGGAGCCTAGTAGTCTAAATTCCACCACTGCCTAGGTGAAAGTGGAGCTCCACTGTCCAGACCTGCTCACTCTGGCTCAATGCCAGGACTTTGCAACTTACAGCCAGTATGGCCCTGACCACTCCCAAGGTCACAGGAACAGGGTACTTGGCTGAAAGCAACACATCTTAAAGTACTGGGTTCGGGGACCTGATCCTAGCAAGGGCGTTGATGCCATGCTGGAAAACATGCCTATACTGGGACTTGCTCTTCATAGCTGCAGGGGAGTTTAGAAGCTCTGAGCATTGTCTCCAGACACTGCAGTTTCAGGAGAATCCCCAAAACACCACCATGCAACAGCAGTATGTAGTGGCACAAAACAGCATGATTGAATGCTGGCAAACAGTAGTGCCATCCCGGACACAGTGGGCTGTCCAGTACAGAACTTCAGTAGGCCATTTGCACAAAACAGATATTGGGACAACGTCCAAGCCGAGGCCAGAAACCTGCCAACTATGCTAGTTATTGAAACGTTTTGCGTTTCTCTTTTCACTTGGCTAGCAGCTGTTACAGGCAGCCACCAGAGGCCCAGACAGAAGAGCAAAAGCAGGTGGTGCACCCACATGCCATTCTCAGGTGGGCTCACCAGCAGGATTGGATTGTGGTCATGGCTTCAGTGAGAACCACATTGTGAGAGTTTAAGAGTTTTGATGACTTACAGATCCTCAAGTTATGCAGGGCCACCACCACAGCAGACAGGCAGCAGTCCTGCATCCTAGGTCTTCTGTAGGAACAGCAGCTGTGCATAATACAGGAATATCCTCCTATATAACAGCTGTTTGGGATTGGATGACTTAATTTCATGGATAGGAAGAAGCAATATTGTTAAAATGTCCATAGCACCTAAAGCAACTTGTAGATTCAATGCTATTCGTATCTATCTACCAATGACATTTTATACAGAGCTAGAAAAACTATTTTCCAATTCATACTGAACCAAAAAAGAGCCTTAGAATAGCCAAGGCAACCCTAACCAAAAAGAACAAAGCTGGTGACATTACATTACGTGACTTCAAACTATTCTACAGGGATACACTAATCAAAACTGTGATACTGATACAAAAACAAACAATAGACCAATGGACCAGAATCAGAATGGAGAGCCCAGATGTAAAGCCACATACCTAAGAACTTCTGATTGTCAACAAAACTGACCAAAAAAAAAAAAGCAATGAGGAGGAAAGAAGGATTTTGTATTGAATAAATAGCTGGGTGCTGGGGTAACTGGCTAGGCATATGCAGAAGATTCAAACTGGATACCTTCCTTAACACTATATACAAAAATTCACTCAAGATGGATTAAAGACTTAAATGTAAAATCCAAAACTGAAAACCCTGGAAGACAACCTAGGCCGTACTATCCTGGACTTAGGAATGGGCAAAACTTTTATGACAAAGATGCCAACAGCAATCACAACAACAGCAAAAAATTGGCAAATGATGTCTGATTAAAGAGCTTCTGCACAGTAAAGGAAACTCAACAGAGCAGACAGACACTGGGAGAAAATATTTGTGAACTATGCACCTGACAAAGGTCTAACATCGGCATCTATAAGGAACTTAAATGTACAAGAAAAAGCAAAAATCCCATTAGAAAGTGGGCAAAGGATATGAAAAGACACTTTCGTAAATAAGATATACATGCAGCCAACAAGCATATAAAAAGATCTCAACATCTCTTATTATCACAGAAATTCAAATCAAAACCACAGTGAGATATCATCTCACACCAGTCAGAATAGCTGTTATTAAAAAGTCAAAAAATAACATGTTTTCAAGATTGTGAAGAAAAGTGAACACATACACTCTTGGTGGGAGTGTAAATTAGTTCAACCATTGTGGAAAGCAGTATGGCGATTCCTCAGAGCTGAAAACAGTTTACATTTAACCCAGCAATCCCATTTCTGGGTATATACCCAAGGGAGTATAAATTACTCTACCAAAAGACACATGCACATGAATGTTCATTGCAGCTCTGTTTAT